TACAGGAGAGGCGAAAGAATCAGAAAGTTGTAAAGTTCATAAAGGCCCACGTGCTGAAAGAAATTTTTATATTTTCTGATCAAGATCGAAAGTTCAATAAGTGTTCTCAAGGAAACCGCAGAGCCCTCTGTCATGTTCGTCATTGCGTTAACGCAGTTTCCAGCACAAATTCTTATCTAAGAACTTTGTTCGCACTTAAAAAGCCTCGTTGAAATTTAAGTGATTCGTGCAACAAGGAACTACGAAGGCATATCTCGTAGGTTTGTGGATGGGCGGTGGGATTATCAACGCTTTAGAAGCTACCATCTTTCCGTCCGATGTATAAAACAGCGCAAAGAACTAAAATGTTTTCTCTTGTTCTGTGAGGGATTAAAACTTGGTGAGTCACTCAGAGAATAATAATTCAGATTTAATGCGTTTGATAGCGGTGGCCAGGAGAGAAAGTTTCGCTGTACAGCTCCGAAAGTGTACTGTAAGTCAGAATAGGTGGTAGCAGGAGCGGCCTTCATCAGAAGCTGATAGTCGCTCAGCCGGCCAATAAATTGTCCACCTCATATTCTACAAAAGCCCCCTTCTCCTTTGAACTCTGGTCTGAAACGCGCTCAGCCTGTGTTCCTCCATTAAAGTAAGAGACCAAATTTCGCATCCATACAAAACAACAGTTAAAATTAGGCCTACAGTTTTGTGTATTTTAATATTTACGTCACGGAAGACAAAAAAATGTTCTTGTCTGCGTCGTAGAGAACGTTCTGTGCATTTATGAACAGTTGCAAACGCGGCGATATAGCGAAACGTCGGTATTGTTATCTTGTAAAAAAAAATGAAGCTATCCCTCTACACGCCATTTAGGCGCTTGGGTGGAGAGGAGGTATAGCTCCTACACATTCTTAACCTCGGCACTAGATGCGGTGAGTGGTTAGCATCACGCCCCGGCCGGCTTTACCCCCGGGGGGAAGGGATCCCGGTACCCATTGGATAGGAGGCTGGGTGGACCATCGTTCAAATCTAATTCTGCTGACGAAGGGACTTATCAAAAGTAAGCAGCATGACGTTCTTGTGTCGTGGACAACTTAAATTTAAAATGAATCGCGATTTACCGTCGAAATTCTTTACTTACGCGCCTCAAGTGTGCACATGTGAGTGGAGGGAATTTGCTTGTCATGCGTGCAGTGAAATTTGCTGTCATGCATTTGCACACGAGCACAGTTTTGTAGTATTAATAGGTTAGGTTAGGTCACCAGCCGCCAGCCCTTTAGCATCCACGTGCTGGGCGTTATCATTCGAAAGATCGGATCCCAGTTTGCGCAACTTCTTATGTTTTCAATATTCTACAATTTTAACCCCCCCCCCCCCCCCC